TAATGTTATAAGCTGATAAATTGTCTTAGGTCAGAATCGTTTTTCGTATACAATTATTTTATAACACTTTTCTAGACACCTATAATGTACAGCAGAGCTTAAACCACTTGCCCACTTTTAATTTTAATTTTAATACTCAAATTATAAATTTTTGAAAATAAAATAATAATAAAGTGTTATGTTACTAATGTAGCTATGTTTTTTTCAACTCATAAAATATGTGTAATGTATCATGTATGAAACATTTAACAAAAATTAATTTCCAAGTACAATTTTGAAAATTCCAAGTTAAAAATATTTAACACCTTTTACATCAGAATTACATTTTTTTAAAGTCATAAGTTGGATATAAAAATTAATTTGTGCATTGTAGGGTTATGAATTATGATATTTAAATACAAGATAATAATAAAAAAAAATTAATGGAAATAAATTTCTTCATTGGACAATGGACATCCTCCCATATAATGTGCTATAGAAATATAATGATTAATGATAATTTACCTTATTTATAATATTATTACCTATAATTAAGTTATACGTAACAACACTGCAGTGTGCCTCAAAAAAGAGTATTTCGTATAGATTATGGTAATATATTCTGGAAGGTTTATGTACATTTGACTTTAAAAATGAAGTATTTTTGTATACAACCTTAGAGGAGTTCAAATAATAAACTCAAGTCACTCCAAGTAATTTACAATCGTTAGAGTTTCTGCCGTTCATAAATATTCATTCAGCGACAAATTAGTAGGCTTTGAATACGGCTTTACAGAAACAATATCAATTATTATTATAGCTAACGATTTTTTTTCATTTCAACAAATGTTTTCCTTTGTTCGGAAAAATTTATATCGATATTCAATATGTACGATAAACATTATATTAGGAACAATGCGGTACTCATAACATGAATGGTAATATTGCACGGTTTTGTTGTTTGTCTCCAGAATACGAGTTCATTATTATATTATGTAATAGCCTATAAATATAAGCTACTATTATAATAAAACACACGTGTCACGTGGGTAATTGATAGGTACACACTACACGTACATTATATACCTACCGTATAATGGAAATTGGAAAATACACGATCACAATGGAATTATGTTAAACCGAAGGGTTTTCGGGGCAACACGTGGTACAGTTTCACATGAATACTACTAAAAATAATACATAATTACATCCATAGGTAGTTATCTAGAAATCTCGGGTAGAACAAAAAGAGTTTATTATAAATTAGTCAAATATCGTATATTTGACACCCACTGCACATCAATACACCATCTTGGCTGTATTTCAGACGTCTTGTACAAGAAAATATTCAAGGCGATTCTTTTAAAGGTGAACTGTAATTAAAACATTTTATCGATAAGTATTAAATATAAGAAATATTTTTCGCATAATTTTAGTTTATTATAAAATGACATTACTCAAAGAAAAATATATTTTTTAAGTTATTTACTTTTGTTGAATTGCAACATACATTTTTAATTTTTAATTCCTGAATAGAATATTCTAAAAATATTTAGAATTATAAAAATTCAAATTCAAACAAATTATTAATTATTTATACCTTTTAAGTATTTAAATTTTATACATGAGTCCGATGAGCGGAATAGAGTGGCATTATCCACCGCAGGTACGCAACAAATGGTTGTCCATTACTCCTATCAATACAATTTTAAATATTTACAAACATTTAACTAATTATTTAAAATTAAATTTTTTTCTCTATGAAAATATGCTGGTTAAGAATATGAAATTACAGATACTATCATTCAAACAAATAAATTAATGCTTAATTATATATTTATTTTTTTTTAATGTAGTTTTGTTAATTATAAATGACTAAATTATCTAAACATTTTATTTCCAAAAATGTTAATACAATAATACTTTTCGAGAAAATAATTGTTTACCTATAAAAGAGAATGATCTTGTAAATAATTACTATTATTATTATTTTTAATTTAATATCATATTGTGATACATATATTTGTGGTACCGATTACAAGGATATTAGCAGATACATTTATTATATTATTTATGGGTGTATTAGATTATCATCTGACTGAGTTCAGGTTCATTTATACGTTTGATTAGTGTATTGACAGCTTTGGTCGAAGATACAAGGATTTATCGTAGATTTTCTGAAAGTTGGAGTTCGTGTTTATAGTTAGGTATAGATTATTGTCGGCTTTCCGAAAATATATATTTGACTGTAATGTCTGATGAGTGTACAGAAAATCCACGTGTAATGAGAGTTTACCTATTTGTAGTGGGAAATTGATTATAATTTATAACCACGACTTATCTGGATATTATGACTGGTTTGGACCACGGTACGATGTATTATTATTATATTTTATCGTACTGCAATATACTGCCGTCGAAGTCATCTGGTCGCTATTGAAAATTCGTAGACGAGACTATCGATGAAGAAAAAAAACGTTCTACACGCAACAATACTCACAGTGAACATTCTTGACAGTTATTTTTGTGCTGTCTTTTAGATCAGGAATTGGACGTATATTGCATTTCGCGTGTGTTAAAATTACAAAACGTTCATATATATTTTTTTCGATAAAAACGTATATTACAAAATAAATGTACAGACAAAATAAAAGGAAATCTGTTGAAATCGTTTTTACAGTTCATCGATGATAAATGACTCTTGTACTTATCTCGGATTTAACGCGACAACACTTGTCTAGGACCAACATCTGTTGCCATGGATTTAATATACATAATATGTAGTACATATTTGGTACTTGCAAAGCGTGAAATTCGTTTATACGTTTTTGTAATTACATTTTTATTATAGCTCGTAAAATAATTTTTTTTAAATTCTTTTTTTGTCCCTGCTGTCAGACGAATAAGAAATATAATTATTAATATATGTATATAGGAAATATAGTTACATTTTAAAATTCTCTATGAAATGGAAACAGATTTTCTCTCATATTTAAATTATATTATTCTATATTTTCCAATGTTTAAATGAATAATGTAATTCATACTGAAAGATAGGCAATATGAAATAATCATATTTTCTTATTGAAAGTACTTATCTCCAAAATAATTTTTTATAGTGCTCATTTTTCACTTTAGTACATTTATTATTTATAATTTATTCATGGACGATGGATTTAAATTTAATTGCAATATTAAGTTGTGTAGTACCTACGTATGTCGTATATACAAATATAATATGTTCAATTAATTTCCTTCTCATTGACAATTATATATTGGAAATTAATGATTTTTACTAGAATAACATAATATAATAATATGATAAAAAAAATGTTCTTATAATAATACATTATTTAATTTCTTTAAAATTAATAGTAACTAATATTTAATTTTAGTTATATAAAGTCTTCTGAATTTATTATTTTGTTAAAGTTTATCACTCATCATATTTTGTATGATATAAAATCTAAATTTAATGAATGCTAAAAAAAAAATCATTCTAAAAAATAAATAAATTTATCGAACAAATGCATTTTTATTAGGTACTTATCACATCGAGAGTATTTTATATTCCTTATTGAAGTTTGTAATATTAATAGTAAAAATCAGTGTTTTTAATAATATTTAACTTATTTAAGAATCCTAAATGTCCAAACATAATTATTTTCTAAATTATAATTATAAAACATATTACGTTTTTTTGTTAGTATAAATATAAAGCGAATATCACTAGTATTATATTTTTGTTATTATTAAATTTACAAATTAATGAAATATTTACATTTCAAACAAATTAATAAGTTGTTTGTGATGTAAAATGATACTACCAGTCCATCCCTTTTCTTGTTAACGTTCTTTAATTCAATTGCATAATAATAATATTTTTCTTTTCGCTTCATAACCGTTTCAAATTGTCTAGTTTAATGCACATGCATTTTTTTAAAATTAATATCGGTAAGTACTCTAGTTTCTAATTCCAAAACGATTCACATGAAACTCATTAACAGCGATTGAAAAAAATTATTCAAATACAACCATCGAACAGAGCCTGTAGGTTGCAACAATTAATTGAACTGTTTCTTCTTTTCCTGAAAATGTATAATCGATATTACCAGTTTCTCCTTCACTTCCATAATATGAGTGTGAAGTAAAACTATATACTCACAGAGTGTAATAGAAATAATTGACAAATGTAATTTATTAATTTGGTATGGTTGGTTTAAGTATCTAATAAGTACTATTCTTATAATTTTTATCATTTAAATATTTTATGATTATTGTGAATTATGTAGGTATTTAAAACCAAATGGGCACCGAAAAGTGTTATTACATAATAATTATTTAATTAATTTTCAAAAATGTTTGTTTTTTAGTTCTTATTTTTTGTATACAAGTGTAATGTTTTATATATGTGAGCAATATATCATACACATATGGAATATGTCCTGGAATCACTATATAATATCTTACGATATCCAATGAACGATCCATTTCACCACCGTAACGAGGTTTATCGCGTCGTATAATAACGCAGCCCAAACATCATAATTATATATATATTATGTCGTGCAACCGGAGTTTTGAGGTCTCCTCGGGGCAATAATTTTCAGCGGAAAGCGACGATAACATCGTATACATAGGTATATAATATAACAAATAAAAACTATATATAATTCTTTCGATACATTTTTATTACGGATATAATATTATTATTTTATTCGGTTTTTCTCCTCATTATAATTATTATAATCTTATATGCCTCTCTCGTTTTGCCATTGGTCGACTCGACGAGGGGTGTACCCGACATGCCCGCCGAAACGTGCTCACCTTATATAATTAGTATAATATAGTAGGTAGTCGATCATATCCAATATAATATATTATAATATATATATATACATGTACACGATTTCCCTTGCTATGGCGTGGGTGAGCTGCGCGCTTGCGTGTGTGTGTTTTTCCGATCTTCGTGTCGTGTTTTGACGCCGAGAGGCGCTTGCGTCCCAGCCCGCCGCAGATAAATGAGCAGGATTCGGCCGCGGAGACGTCACAAAGTATTCGCGTCGCAAATCGCCGGTGGAACACGGTCACGGCCGCATCACCGTCGTCATCGTAGTCGTCGTCGTCGTCCCGAGGAGTCCCGAGGAGTCGCAAGCACCGTCAGCCGGCTCCAGATGAAAGCCGCAACGATCCTGGCCGCCCTGGCCTGCCTACTCGAGGTAACCGTTTTGGACGGATTGACATTGTTGTTGATGTTGTCGTAGTTGTTTTTTTTTTATGTAGACTCGTTTTTTCGACTGTACCGTTTGTTACCGCATAGATTTAGGTAGCGACGATAATACCAAACATAGGTTTGGTGTCTATAACTATTATGTTGCTGGTGCTGCTATATTGATTTAGTAAAAGATTTACCAAAGAAAACTCTGTTGGATCAACTTCAAATTATTATTTAAAAACAAAATATTCACTGAGTAACGTTTGGATAAGGATAATTATACAGCTATATTATAAAATACTCGGTCACTTGTCAACCGTCAGCTTATTTTTTTAATTCAATACAATGAATAAACAAATAAAATACTATTTATTTAATTCAAAGAAAAAAAAACATTAAGCAATAAAATATTTATATAATATATTTTAAGCTAATGAACTACTAGATATAAAATACAAAATAAAGAACCTATTAAAAACAAAATAATTAAAGAATGGTTTTCATGAAATTTATCAATGATGGGGTTAATTATTACCTTAGTATAAAATATAAATTAGTGTATAATATAATATATTCATAAATCATAATCAATATTAATGATTTAAATTATACGTAACACCCGAAAGCCTTTGAAAATTACAATTTAGTATTGAATATTGAAATCCAATTGTACTTATAATCTATTTAAGTTTGGTTGATCATAATTAACTTGTTGGCTTACCATCGTTAAATACCTTTTTAATTTCTAAAAGATTTATTCTAAACCTATATATATATATATATATTAATATTAATACATATATTTTATAATAAAATTGATTTTTTTGAATAATTATACAGAATACGTGAGTACATAGTTATCTATACCGCCTTAACTATAACTACTTAATTGTATCAATATAAAATTAAAAACAAAAGTTGAGTCTTGAAAAAAAATAATAAATTTATCTCAAAATTGAACGACTACGAAAAAACGGAAAAATAATAATTTAGTATAGATTTGTTATATCATTTCAATATTTGTACTAAAATCATAATTTTCTATTTAAAATAAATATTTTTCAGAATTAAAAATCGATTAATCAATTTCTTAGTATATTATAATCATTCTACAACCATATTATAAGTTTTAGTTTCTAATTTTTTATAAACTAAAAGAGGTTGTTAGTTTTAGAGTCTAAGTGGAGTGATGAATGTATTGGTATGTTATTTTTAAATATATTTTTTTGTTTTATGTTTTGGAACAGTAAAAATTCTACAATCTTCAACTTAATAACAAGTTGGGTTCCTGGTAGCAAATTGGATAAAGTTAGTAGGTACTTTCCATGGAATCGAAAATTTCCCCGTACTTGTATTTAAAATCAGGAAATACTAAAAAAATTACAAAAACCGAGAAAATTACTTGTATGATGCAATACGCAATTTCTAGACATGGTATATTGGCTCTTTTTAGGATATTAAAAAACATTTCGAATTTTCGATATTTTTTTCTTTTATTTAAAGGGTGATCAAAATGTTTATGCTAGGTTGAAAAACTTGAAAATTTAGTTCAAAGTTGATCATATTAATAATATATTGTTTTTACTAAAGTCAAACAAAAAGTTGAGCGTAAATCCTACGCATTAATTTTTTATAACGGTTTGATGTTCTAGTTTTAAGTAAAGTCTTAAAATTCGTAAAAATGTTATAATTATTTTGTAGTTAAAAATTCTTTCAGGTTTTAATAATTATACTTATTATACTTGAACATTTCACATAAGTTGACCTTACTAAAATTTTTAAAAAAATGTTAAGCATTAAGTCACAGTAATTTTCACAGTAATGACTTAAATTATCATTTTACAATAACAATAATATAATAATAAATAATATTTGGACTAATTTTATGACCTATGCAGTATTAACTTATAAGTAACAATAACGTATACGTATAAAAATTAATAATATACCTAATAGAATATTTGTGATATTTTTAGCAAAAATTAGTTCAAAATCCATAAAAATTGAGGCTGAAAGTCTCCGCTGAGAATGGTTTTTCGTATGCAATGTTTTATGATTGAATTCATATTTACCCATACGTAATGGGTGTATATAAAGTTACATCGTGATTTAATCAATGTAATTTTGATCTCATAAATGACAAAATGCACTTGAAACCTACTATACAACAGAACAGACTGACTTCCCCGGTATTATAAAGTATTATCTTAAATAAAAATATCATAAAAGTTTTTCAAATAAAGACTAAAAAAAATTATTTTAAAAGATCAACAAACTTGTAAATATATTGAATTTCTATAAAATATTTAAAAGAGTAATATTTTTAGTTATTGTATAATATTATTTTATTAAAACTTCAAAATGTAGGCATAGGTACTCTATTAATTTATTATTAAATTATCCAGGCAATTAGCAATTACGAAATAATATTTAATATAAAAATATATTTTATTTATGTTTTATTAACCAATATTGTATACAGTAGTAATGTAATTCATATAGAATATAAAATATAAATTATATGCAATTTAAAGTTTTAAATGTATGTTATATGTTATAATGATATAATATAGACCATATAGTAACTAATCAGGATTTTTATACGTTTGGGGGCTGTATTTAGAAGCTTTAATAAATAAAGTATACATCACAGATATATACAAATGTTTATAAATCTGTGGTATGTATTAATATTTTTTTTTTCACACTAATATACATATGGTGTTTTCATTGCATATTCTGTATTAAGTTCGTATTTTTGATACATTATTAAATTTAAAAAAAAATAAAATTTCTCAAACTAGGTTTATTTAAATTGTTATACTTGTCGTATAAGTATTGTCTAATAATTTATGGATTCAAAAGAAGATAAATTACGATGTTGTAGGGTAGCATTTATAATTAAGTAATTAATTAAAACTACACAATACTGCTGATAACACAAGATAAATAATTTTGAGTTGTAGAATAATGAATTGTAATTAAAATATTTTAAATATGTTAAAAATTCTTTTCAAACACCGTTAATAGAAATGGATTAGCTCGCTTAAATACTTTCCGTTGTACTATGGTTACAATAAATATGATATACCATTCGTACAAACATTATCATAGTATGTACCTAAAAAACTACCACCTTCTGTTCTATATAATAATATAGTACATTTATTTCACAAGCACTTAAAGAAAAAATAATCTAAAATCACTTTTAAAAAAATAACTAAAATACAAATATTTATTCACGTATTTCGTTTATAAGGGTTCAGATTTAAATAGAATGTTTATGCAATAAATACAAGTGATAAAATATTAAATACAGAATAAATTTGAAATCCTCCCGATAAAATAAATATTTATATACTTCGATGGAGGAAGAATATTAATTAAAATGTTCTCTACAATATTCTCGTTTTAGACACTTATTAGATACATTAGTGCCGGGTTGCACAATCATTAAACATTTAATGAATCAATAACAATAAGCTTATGGTCACTTAAGCATAATTGATTGGTCCATTAATTTAATAATTTTTTTGTGCAACCCTGTATGGGAATTTTTCGAGATAGATCTGAAACTAATCAGCAAACGGACGAACATTTGCGTGATATTTAAAGTGTCTGTTTAGCAGTTTCTTTAATTCTTTTACGGTTTGTATCTTAAGACTTAAGATATATAGGAATGTATCATTTTTAAGACTTAAAGCGAAACTTTTAAATATTATTCTTCGAATTTTTTGCTGAAAGATTCGAATTTTAATCAATTTGGACATTTAATCAATACCCTATAATTGAATACCATAAAATCAGACTGGTTCGTTTAGTAATTTATATATATTATATTTATCTAATTACTTTTTTTTTAAAGAGGTGGTTTGAGAAGTTGGATCTAAGTTCTATAGTTATACATTTGAATTGGATAAAAGCAAATACAAGAACTAAAATTTAAAATATACTTTATATAATAAAAATTTGTTTATTTTCATATAAAATTATTCTTCATAATATGTTTTATTATAATTTATAGCGTTTTGTAGTTCTTCCATATCATAAATCGAATACAATAAGTACACCTTTTGGCTTTTGTGAAAGTATTTGATTTTTTCAAACATATTAATTTATATAGTAATCTCAAAAAGCAGTAAGTTTTAGTATAAAATTGTGTAACGACTTGTAAAGGTTATTTTTATGACAATATGGCGTTGTACAGACATATAGGCATAATAGTAAACTACCTACTAAAATCGTTCATTTTCAATTGAAATTTCTTATAATAGTGTTAACCAATAAACACAAATCTGAATTAAAAATATATATAAGAGCTGTATTCGGTTGGAAAACTTGAAATATAAATCAGACATAAGAGTTCTTATCGTACGTATACCTGCCATAAAAACGAACTGCCTCAGTTGTAAGCTGTGGAGTAGCCATTTAGTCGATTATGTTTATTCGACCGGGAAGGAATAAATATTTAATACCAATCTAGAGTGATACAAAAATAAATAAATGATAGGCTCCAATATTATATACTTTGAAATTAGATTTTCAATCGTATCTGACAGTTTTTTCCGATTCACCAAGGGTTTGTCAGTCTTTGGAAGTATAATATTATTATTTTTATTTGATCAAAAGATTAAAAATATTGTTTCGGCCAAAACCCGAAGTAACATAATTTATAAATATAATTCAATAAATAGAGGTATCTGGTATAGTGTGTCCCATATATTTTCCACCTTTTTCCAGTTCATGAAATAATTTATGTCTGTATGTGTCAGTCGGTTACTTATTTGCCGAAGCCAAACCATTGTCCTCTTATTGTCGAACTTACTTTTCCTTTTTTGAGATAAATAATTAATTTAGTTTTACAATTCGCATAGTCTCTCCATTCATAACTTTTAGGCCATTCTTTAAAACTTAACATTGGTTTTCAATTATTGCTTGCCTATTAATGAATGAAGAGTTATTAAAATATATTTGAATAATTAAAATAAAGTATAATAGACCAAAACATAATCGTTGGAATGATTTCGGTAAATACATCAACATTTTTAAATACATTCATCTCCCCGCTCAGAATCTAAAATTATATCTGTTTAAAATGTATAGTAAAAATGTAGGTTCTCGTTTGTGAAACAAAGGTTTTTACTTTATACTGCCATAAATCAGTACAATATAAAAAATTATGTGCTTTTTTCAAATTTGAAAATATGGAATTAATTATAGTTATCTGATACAAAATTCCAAAAATCAGAATATTTAATAAACCTAGTACTAGTAGAAAAATGCGGTGAGCATGGTAAAATCCTTCTGTGTTTAAAATTTATAAACAAACAAAAATATTATCAAAAACATAACATACAAATCATAACATCATAAATGATATTACTATAGGTACTTTTTTCGCGCTAAACATAATTATAAACGATATTAGTGCAATATTAATACCATTATAACGAATAACGAAATTTATTAGTCGATAAAATAATAATAAAAGTACATAACTTTAATAGTATTATAAAAACAACAAACAACTAAATAGGTATGTGCTTTATATTATACCAATAAAGTTCTAGATTTATTTTAATAGGGTATATAAATCACTTAATCTAAAAAAGTAATGTATCCATGTATCTAATGTAGAATTAGAAATCATGTATTACTAAAACACGTTAAATTAAAAAAAAAATAACCGATTATAATTAAAGAAAGTGAGAATAAAATTAATGGATTGTAAAACATGGAATTAATTGTACTGTTTAAACCTAACTAACAATAATGTTTGTATTCTGGATGATAAAAATACACACTTTTTTTAAAATTTATTAACTAAATTTATATTTCAAATATAAAGATGGCATGTATTATGTGTTTGTTAAACAAAAAATGAAAAAACTTACATTTATATTAAAACACTGGTACGTGGTTTATAAACTTCAAGAAGATGAACTATTTATTGAAAAAATAGTATTTTGATTATTTTCTTCGATTATATATTGAAAGGTAAGTACATAATCAGTAGAGCGCAAACAGTTTATTACATTTTTGACATTTTTATGTGACAATTTAATACCAAGTAATACTTAAATTTATGAAAATAAACAGTTACCTATATAATATGAGTATTGATAATGATATTTAATTTATTTATCGTCAATTATGTAAAAACAATTTAAGCGCAAATGGAAATGTGGGCACATCAAGCTTTTTTAAAACAAGAAATACTTATCTTTATAGATTGATTGCATATTACATTTATTTTAATAACAATTACAATTTATATTATATACTTTGTAGTTTGTAATGTCAGGTTTATTATTGTTTTTATCTAAATAAAAAACTAATTAATAAATTGAGAATTAAAAATGGGCGTAGTACCTAAGTAACAGCTCTGCTGTAAATTAGAAGTCGAGTATACCTCGCCATTGAGTAAATAACTATAATAGATGTGTTAAATTTTAATTCAATGATAAATCATTGTATGCGAAAAACAATACAATGCGAAGACAATTTGTCACTCTATATCACAACAATTTTTTTTAGTTAATTTATAATTTATATTAAGTACTGTAAAAATTTCATAAAAATCCGAAAATGTAAAATGTATATAAATTGCTCAATTGTATTATAATATACAAAAAATACTAATTTAAATATTTTGTGAAATTTCGTTTTGGAGTAATACCAAAAAAACAAAATTTATTTCGTCGAAAACTTGTTTTGCGTAAAAATTCCAGTTTATCCTTTATAAGTAGGTAGGTAATTTAATTTTTGTTTTTCCCGATTATTTTGAAAAATACTGGGAATATTCAATTTTTACTTCTTAAAAGTACCATCTATATCCAATTTACTATCAGAAACCACACTTAGTGTTGTAAATTGAAGCATTTTTTCTGCTTCTTTTCGTGTATCATGACTCAAAGAAACACAAAACCACACATCATTGTAAAATCAATACATTCATCGCTACAATCAGAATCTAAAATATGAACATATAAAGATATCTTCCTAAGTACTGCTTATTATGAACAATTTTTGTATAAAAAACGGACAAACCAACAAATATAAATTATAATAATATTTTAGCCAGTTTATGCAACTCAGTGCCTTGCTCAATTCATGAAATTGACAAACAAAAGACAATTGTACGTGTTTTTATAATCCATATAAAGAACTATATTATATATTTTACCAGTTTACCTAATACCTATTATATTATAATAATCAATTGTACCATAAATCAGATAAATTTAAACATTTAAAAAAGACATTAATTAAAAAAAAATCGACAGGAGATCCTATTGCAGACAAATGCGCTCCTATTATAGTTGCGCGCCTGTATAGGATATACAATGAGAATATCTGTACAAAAAAATCAATTAAAAGGGCAATTATTTCATGGTGTAGGAGAACCGATTTAAATCGTGTCACAATTATACAACAGACTAAAATCAATATATTTTTACAACCTTATTCCGTTTAATTTAGAATTTAAACTAACTATATACATCAATTTTTTAATTAAATATTTATTATAATACACAAACAGGCACATCATAATGCGTTTAATTCATATCACATAATACGATTGTTTTATATTAAATCCCTAATATAAATCTGAAAAATGTTTGTACCTATAGTTGACAAACCATACATTTCAACTGAACATGAAAAACTTCGAGATCATTATATTGTACAGCATACGTATAAAAATGTACCACAAAACTAAAAAAGTAAAAAAACATATCTAAGTATTATATTTTATGATCTAAAAAAATGTAATTCAATTTTTTTTCTACTAGCATAATACCCGTTAAATTTAGATAGGTAACAACTAATATGAACAATTACTTGACATGGTAGTAAAGTGAGAAATATGGTTTATGAATTAGGTACAACAATAAAATAACAAGTTTAAATATGAGAAAAGCGTATCTGATGTTTTAATTTTACATTTTATTTTTTCACAAATATGTTGACTAATATTTGAAATTTCCAAACAAAAAGTTTATCAAATACCATCTGTGCCCAATTTCCAATCTACAAATATGATTTAATGAATCTTATATACATGTTAATGATATTAAAAAAAACGTGGATCTACCCCAATAATGTAAAAAAAATAACCATCATTGTAAAATCAATACATTTCTCAACGCACCCAGAATCTAAAACTTTAAAAATATTGAAATAAATATGAAAAATATTCTCAAAGGATAATGTTAGAATTTTTTTGAATATTCTTAAATTGAAAATCTAAAATAAGTGTGCCTTTTGATGTGAAAGTTATTTAAAAAGAATGTATGAATAGATCTAAGATTCGAAACTCGACGTCAGCAATTCCATTTGAATGGAGAACTAACCATCATATTTCGGCGAACAAAAATACGATAAATGGAAAATATATACGTACACGTATCAGTCGTATCGAGTCCTAATATACATACTATTATATAATATAATATATAAAACACAGAAATGGTATCTATAAACTTTTTTTGAATAATAAATTCATCGTTTCACACTGTCATTCACCCTAATATACATAGATGGTTCGTTTCACTTTATGCCAATCAATTGATTTCCAGTCTGTTCTAATTGGTATAGGTACCTATAACATTATTTCCAAATTACATACATTACACTGAATCAAGAATTATTATATTATTATTATATTTTTAATAACGCAATTTTCAATGAAAACATCAGCATTTGTATGAGTAGTAAGTAATACCTAGTTGGTTTAAAAAATATTTTCATACGTTAAAAAATGGACGTCACACGTCTAAACAATTTACACTTAATCTTAACTGTAATACCATGGAATGTGTAAAGACATACTTTAAGGTAACCACAACTGGGATACTAGATGACCCGATCTTTTATAGTCAAGGAATGCAACCCCTGCGTAATCATTTCTATATTGTAATAACGTTCAAGTGATAAAAAATAAATAAAAACGGACCCAACGCGTAATATCGGCCCAAACTTGACACATGGGTTATATGGTTTTCGTGATAAATGGAATGTTTTTGGGAGCGCATAATACAATTTTAGGATTTGATGGGGGACTTTGAAAGAAAAAAACTAATATTGTCTATCATTTAACATGTGGAGGTTATATGTTATGGCAGGTCTCACATGCATTCCCGTTCAATTTCAACAAGAGGAATTTAGATTCCCTAGCGAGAACCGGACAGTTACCAGAATACAAACGATCACTTGCTTCGTTGGCCAAGAGTGGACAATTACCCGAAAAATTGGTTCAAGAGAAACGAATGTTGGACGTTTTAGAACAAGCAAGTGATGAAAACTCAAGAGCCATCCAAGACCAAAAGAATCGGGTAATAGAGGTACCGTTTTTCATTTTATTTTTATATTATCAAACAATGTGTCGATGATTCATCGTAAATCAAATAACATTGAAACTTATTGGTACCGTTATTTACTTTTGATTTAAATCGCATGTCGAACGTAATATAACGTTATTGTTTGATAAAAAAAAAAAATCCCCATTACAATTTATTTATAATAGCGATGTATCAAAATGTATTTTTTTTAACGTTATTGAATCATGCAGCATAACTGTTTGTAATAATATGGTATTCAGAATTTTAACACAGAACAGTTGTATTGATATCAGATGTTCCACACCCGATATTTTTAAACCACAGACAATAGACACACTGGCGAGTCAGCCTTTTATAGTTTTATATAGTATGTAGAATCGTTGCAATAGTCAGTAATTTATTGTTAATTTAATAGTTTTAACTTTATAAGATATGAATTTAATCGAAGTCATAATAAAAATTCAATACTGGCATATCAATAGATTATAAAACTAAACAAATTAAGAAAGGCTCAAAATATATGTAAAACTTCACAATTTATTGGAAATTCTAATTAATCAAGTAAATAAATCATTATTATAATATATTATAAAACATTCAGTTTTAATATTTTTAATTATTTTATTTTTATTGAGTTATATTATATTATATTATATTATTAGTATTACATCTTTCACAATTATATATTCAAGATATTTTATATTTCATATTTTATTGATGTAGTATTGTATTTCCCTCTTTAAACAATCTCAGAAATATGAACCTGAATTTAGCATGTATGAATTACTGGTGATATAACATAATATGGTGCAAATATAATAACGTAGTATAATATAATAATATAAAAATCAAAGTTATCAATAAAGTTACAGTTTTCAAAAAATTGTATGAGCTTTTAAATAACTATGTTTAATAAATAGCTACTTTCGATATATAAAATATATTACATACAGAGTGATTTTTTAAATGTACTTCACCCCATTTTCTTTTCCAATATTACATTTATTCAAATTCTAATTTTTAGAATTTTGAAGTTCCTAAAGTAACTAAAGTACCTAATTTAAGTAGGTATACCAAGTATACTATACCTAAATACCATATTTTCAAATTCCTGATATTATTATTTTTTTTATTATACTTAAGGAGTGTCTTGTGGCGATACAAACATCTATAATATTATGTATTAAACATTTTAATAAATATTTTATATTCATGTGTTTATGTACTCAACATAGTCTAACTAAATTAAATAGGTAATAAAGTTTGCAGTAGATAGTGATATGCATCAAGGGGGAACACCACTATTATCAAGGTTTTATTTTTAAATTGTAATTATTAATTAATTTGTAAAGTGAGGGAAACTCTTATTATTATTATTTGTCCATTTTAATTTTTGGCACCTAATCTTTTAGTATTCCATTAGTGTTATAACTTATAAGACTACGTTTCCCAATCACAATAAATTTGGATTCGATATTTTTATCCAATTTATCGTGACTTTATTTTATTTTTTGATTATTATTTTAAATTATTTATATGTATGTTTGTATTTCAAAGGAGATAAAAAAATTGGCACTAACTGGGTTATCAAAAAGACAAGCAGCCACCGAGCCTGATTTCCGAGACGAGTTTAAATCAGATTTGAGAAGCATATTGGACCAATTTTTGGAAAAGTTTGGAACGACATATGATCCAGAAAAGGTTGAACTGTTTTTGACCAACATGGCCGACGAAGTTTTTGAAAATCATGGTGTAGTTTCATTAGACCACATCCGATTCTTGATCGAAACTGGGTACTTTCAACCGGAAATGCGAGAGGTAGACGATGTAAAACCAGCTGATGGAGATTCGTCACCAGACGACTATATCGCCAAACGTTTCATGGCCTCTCTAGCCCGGACTGATAACATGCCGTTTTGGTACAACAGCCCTAGGTATGTCGCCAAGCGGTACATTTCTTCATTGCTGAGACAAGGGAGACTGCCTTACGGATTCCAACCCACCACAGAGTCGTCGACGAAAAACCAAGACTGGAATTTACAAGATGGCCAAAAACCCAAGAGGAGCGACCGTCCGTATCAAAATAGCGAAGAGTTTATACCCGTGATGCAAGGTAGCAAAACTTTGCAGAGCATTATCGACGACTTGACACAAGAACCTATGCAGAAAAGATACTTGGGTGAGTACATATATATTATACATCTTAATTGATGACAATATTGTTATTAAAAATTATGGTTTGTAGTATTAATGTGTTGCACATTTTCGTAAACGTAAATAAATAGTTTCAAACAAAAGTGATTAATACGGGGACGATCATACGACATTGATTAGACAATAATACTAAAAACCGTAGGAATATTCGTTTTTTGAAGAACGGGAAAAGGGGAACACAGAAATTAAAAACTATAAATGAAACCTACAGAATTTTTTTGTCAGATTATTCACTGTTGTAGACCGCATTGAAACGGTTAAAATATTTTTTTTAAAATAAACTTATTTGCTTAATTTCCCGGTCTTATTAAATTTATCATATATATTTTGTATGCAGTTTTCTTGTTTTCATTAACAATAGAATTTAATCTAATACACTTGAACGCATACAAGAACCATATGATAAACATGTGCAACATAATTGGATTTGTTTGATTCCCATTGAGTGTACGCTTAGTATGTGAATTCCTATAGTAATGAGATAGCCTCTTGCCCACAGAATACGAGTAAATCTTGTTGACAGTCTGTCGAGTATGACAATGAACTGAACTCTGATAATGCTTGGATCTTTGCTTGCGTACGAAAATCTTTTGTTGCCTGCCTAATATATTAGGTAGCAAATGTTAGATTGCCTAAATGGTTATCTAATGACAGACACTTATATAGGTGCACAAATCAGAGTTACGGGTTTGATTACCAAAAAAAAAAATAAGTAGAAAGTACCTAGCGACAATTGAAATAATTATTTAGTCATAAATCAAACAATACATTGGTAATAACTAATAAGTAATAACAGTATCCTGATATATATATATATATATACTATTTATCGGTCATCATCAGAGTTCATCTCGTTGTACATAGATGTTTTAAGTATTCGTAATTTGCATGTGCTTTCGTACCTAACTATCTTAGATTGTAACATTGATTAAAGTATAATCTCAATAGAATATTTTATATTAGCATTGAGTATAACATCTAGAAGTCAACAATTATATTAAATAGTATAAGTTTAGAGAGGTTACGTCATTACGATGTACATCAATTGCTCTTATAATGTTTATAAACACTATTATTACGTTTGTAATAGTTACTTACGTAACCAATGTAAAATGTTTTAATTTCTATTGAATTATATTCTGTTATGCTTTCGAAATATATTTATTTATTAAGTTTATTACATGCATATAACTATATATTATGAATAAAGTTATTTCTTCAGCCCATTATACCATAACATATGAAAAATTAAATTAGATTCACAATTAGATAACACATTTATTATTTTTATACCCATTTAAAAAATAGGCACCTAAATAAAACAGATATTTACTTATGCAATTTAAAACATATTTTACAACTATTCCGGACTTAATTTACTCTCATACAAACATTAAAATTATAAACGAATTATTATTATTATTATGACATTTATAATCCACATAATATTAAAACTAAAATATCAACTTATATGCAACTTAAGTTAGCCATTTTGGTTTTGCGCTGTACAAACTCAAACATGCATACTATATAGTATATACAAATTTGTCCAACATACAAAATTAATTTTTACCTATGATTGCAGTTTAAGATAAATTAGATAAGATAGATTAATACAATATTTCACAACAATATAGATAACTTTATTGAAGAAATAACGTATTATTGTGTGATATTTAGACATTTATATTTTATTGAATAATAGTCTTGAATTAAAATTACATATAATATTTAAAGTTGGGTTAAGATTACACACTTTTATGTTGATTTAAAGTATCGTATTATTTTGAAGTTGAATCTATTATTTAAAAATAGATCATAATAGTTCTTTTATCTTTTTTATGTTTTAATTGTACAGTACTTTTTTTGTAGCAAACTGTATAAGTATAGTACATTAGTACATGATAATTTGGTACACAGTGCATGTATCTAATTTATTACTACCACCTGAAAAAAGCCAATATTTCATATAAGACTATTACAAATCTTCATTATTTCCAAAAAATATAAAAACTGGTAAATAACTAGGAAAAATACGTATATTTTTCAGTAAATTAATCATGTTTTAACATTATAACGTTTATGTACTAATGTGCATAAAATCAATGACGTATAATACCTTTTGAAATTTAGGGTATTGATTGGTGCATAATATATTATAGGTGTTTTGAATTTTGATTTACCTATACCTAGTTTATAGGTTATAGATTATACGAACTTTATTTAGATATATTGTTTATAAATATTATAAAATGCGTATAAATCCCCAGATTACACAATTGAATATTATTATAGGTAGATAGGAATAATGCGTGTTCATGGAGTATTATATATTAGACGTGAATAATAAGAGACAGACTCAAGTTGTTTAATAACAATTACATTTTTATTTTAGATTTTTCACGAGGTATAATAAAAACGAAAAAAATCGTAAAACTCTTCGATAAAATGCAATAAAGTTTCAAAGCTTAACATTAAACACACCGTTGTTTTATTAGTCGGGATTAATAACTTTGAAATCTGGTTGAGATTTGTCGGATGACGTTTCACTCGTTACGGATATAATACTTATATTTTGTTATTTTTATCTCGACCTTACCTACTTTTAGTTTTAATAGACAATTAGTGAATTTTGTGACCGAATAGGGGATAATTGATGTGATTATATTTAGTTCATAGTATACTGCAGCGTACAAGTCTAAAGACTGGAACGGTTCGATTCAATCTTTCTACGTATCATATTATAATATAATATATTATATTAGATACATAATATGTTTACCTGTTATATCCTATGTAATATGATTGTGACGTTCTATGTAGTATATAATGATTGAGTGTTGTGTTTGTTATTTACTATTATTTTTTTTTTTTGTGGTAACTGTCTACATTTTAGATACATGGTTATTGGTTAATGATGATCGGAAAATAAATATGTAGTTTGAATTTTAATGTGATAATATAACGATTTACGTATATAGTAGTCTTTGTTTGTACCTATATTTATACATAATAATATAATTTATTAGACTCATATTTCCTCTTCTTAAATGTACCTACCTATCTGTGTAACGTTTATTAGTGACGTGTGTGTCGTAGAAATTTGTTTTTGTTGTGTCGTGTGTGATGTCGTGTTTTCACCATATTTACATAATATTTTGCATTGTCTGAGTAGTCGTATTTTTGAACCGCATACGCCTAAACGACAATAATATTGATAAAATTTAATATATCATGATCTCATTAGTTTATACAAGAACATGACATTTAAAGTCGACCGTGTGCATTTTTTTTTTATTTTTACTGTCGTGTGCGTCGGTGACTGATTTCTCGATGCCGTGCTCGTGCGTGTATGTATGTGTGTGTGTGCGTGCAGGTGCGTTATCACGCAGCGGTTGGATGCCCAGAGGATTCGCTTCGACGTCGTCCCGGTCACCAGCCTCTTATCATTCGTTCGGCAGCACCGGCCAGAGCGGCTACGACAAGAGGCATTTGGCCGCGCTTGCTCGACTCGGCTGGCTGCCGTCGTTTAGAAACCCTCATTCGTTTTACATGCGTAACGGCAGAGGGTCGTCGTTCCAGTGCGATATAAACAAGAGGACCTCCACCACAGTCTCCGAGTAAGATAGACACGAATGTTTATATTGTGTTAAACGGTAATATTAACGCGTTTCGCACATATGTATGTACTTATGTATATGTGTGTGTGTGTGTGTGTGTGTGTGTGTGTGTATGTATCTCTGTGGGTTCTGTTCTTTAGATCAGGTTCACTTATACCTGGAATTCACACTTTTTTCATTCAAATCGTAAGCCGAACAATAATACACACTTCTATAAACGACTCCAAACTCATCCTAACCCCTCTCATCTCATAAAAGATCTTGTCATCCTTACACTACCAGGAAATCCTAACCACAGGTTAAAAAACGTGGTGCCGTAACCTTTTGCAAAACTTTAATACCTTACGCCTCTTCTAAACATATATAATAATTTAATTATTATTATTAAAAATAATCAACTAGCCAACAGTCACTAATGGGTGGCTACTTTAATCATACCTTTCATTTTATATAATAGGTACTCTTATCATATCAGCTTATTGTGCTGATCGGTATAGATTGTTTATGTCAAATAAAAATGTTTAAACAATTGTAAGCCTTTTTTTGTACATTGTTTGTACTAAAAAATTGAAATTTCCAAATTTATAGATACACATTTTCGTTGGTGTTTGTATAAGAAAAAGGTTTTACATTTTTAAGTAAGTCCAAAATTTAATAGTTTAATACTTAACGTTCATAATAAGGCCAACGTTTATTTATATTAGGCGTTGTTAATGTTAAGTAATATTTCCTCAATGTAGATCTACATGTAAATACTAAGCCACAAATGCCTAAAAGTATACCTATAGTTTATATTATGATATCCAATGAAATCTATAAATCCGTTGAAATGTATTCGATTATTTGAATGCACTTATGTAATATTTTTAATTTGTAATAACATCCCATGTTGGAAAAGTAAATACTTAGTTTTGCCAGTAAAATTGAAATTAAAAATTCACTGTGGGTGATAAAGTCTTTATTTTCCAACTATTGGACATTTAAAAATGTTCAAGTAATAGCATTGATTACATATTTATAATATTTAATTAAGAGGACGCCACCCCGCCTGTGTTGTCTCCGTCTTACAAGTGCGTAACAAAGAAAAATTTACCCTCAGGGCCTCAGCACATCACGTTTACCTCCTTGTTAGTTTAAACATTAGAGTAAATCGACCTATTACAAAATTTGATGGTAAGAACATTATCTGTGTTCATATGTTTGTTTTTTTACGATATTTCAATTTTTAAGCAAGTTATGTGTCTATATTATAGGGTAAATTCAAAATTCTCATAACTCACTTAAAAACTGAATAATTGTAAGATACCAACATAAGAACACATATAATGTTCCTAACATCAAGTTTCGTAATAGGTTGATTCACTCTAATATTTGAACTAACGGAGCTAAACGTAATCTGCTGTGAGTAAATTTCATATGTTATGCACTTGTAAGACGAAGACACACATGCGGGGGTGAAGTTTTCGTAATGGTAATAGTAACCAGGAGCCTAACAAGCGTAGATAGTCTGCTACTGGATAAATACACATAATATGTCTGACTGTAGACAAAAACCTAAAGATAAATGGCATGGGTGTATGGTGGTATTTATCCTATTTTAGATTATTGTGATGTGAATCATATTGATTTTACGGCACAATGGTATATTTTATCTTTTGAAAAACACATTGAGTAAACATTAGGTAGATAATAGTGGGTTTAATATTTAATATGGTTCAAAGGCTTCTTGCAAGAACGAATAAATTAATACGCTTTAAGGAAGTGGAGTTGAATGCAACATTGCTGAATGTTGTATTTATTTATATTTCCATTATATTGAAACAAAATGGTGTTTAAGTGTTTAGTTAACATCAACATTACGGTTTACTCTTGATATTATTAGTTATTACTACATTTTATGGAGGTCCATTTTATAACATAAGTATTTTAATAATAGTTACATACATGATTTATTTGATATAATATAATGTTATAACTTTAACACAACTATTGTCCTTAAGCTATTGTCAAATAGTGTAAATATCAAAACCTATATAACAATATGCATTAGTATTTTAGTACATTACCAAGTATTATAGTAGTGTAGTAAGATATATTCGCTTCAAGTGTATTGTATTGTATTAAAATTGCATATACACGTCGCCGTGTTACAAATAATAAAAAGTATTTAAAATAATTCATAACAAAAACCACATAACAATATTATCATTGGCCTAATCTTGTGAGTAATTTAAGATTTAATGACTGAAACCCTAATATTTTGAATAATAAAATATTGAAGTCTCTATTTATATTAATGAATCTAATATTAATTACCACATCAGACATAAGCCGGAAACGGCCACAGCTTACCAAAATTACCGTTTGATTAGATATTTTCATCTTATAATATGATTATTATTTCATCGTTTAATACTATGAGCAATATTTGTTGAATTGCTTATTTGTTATTTATACATATCTAATTGGCTGATTCATTAAAAGTTATAAGTTAAATAATATAATAATATGTTAATTATGTTTTAAATGTCAATAATGAATTATTATTCTAGAAGCTAATATGCTTAAGTCAAAACTCAATTCCAAGATGACTCTTTAAATATTTATATAAAAGCAGTAAGTAGACATGAAATAATTAAATGTCTTTTCATTCGATAAGCCATGTATCTCTATATAGTATTATCTCCTATAAATACTTTCTTTGTTTCTCAAATTCGCATATTTTTAAATCACTTTTAAAAAACAATACTATAAAACTAAATTTAATAATGACATTCTTATAAAGTATTACACAACTTAACGAAAGGCTGGGTTTAAATGCTAAATTCTAATTAATGTTTTGTGAAGCTGCAGTTTCATAAAAAGTTTTTCAAAAATGTTTAAACTTTGAGAATTCTATTTCGACTAAAATTGATAATAATTTAGTTAGAATACAAACAACTTATTTACTATAGTAACTAATTTATATATATTTTTTGTTTCTTTTTATTGGTTTTAAATTAAAACTTTTTTATACAAAAATGAATGGAATTCAGCGAGTCTATATATATATAGTATCTTATATTTAACTATGAGGAGATTATTGGGCTGATATAAAAATAATATCGTATGCTATTAATTCTTATAACATATTTTTTTTTTATTTACAATAATATATTATATAAAATAATACAACGAGTAAATTGAATAAAATATATAAGAGGTTTTGACATGGGGTTCACATGACGAGAGAAAATATCCATTGATATGACTCTACAGTTTTATACAATAAGTAAAAAATATAATTCTTACCTACTTACTTATATTGATTATTGATATGTTACTAGAAATGATCCCATGCGATTAGTACGTTATTTTGTTTTAAATAATTAAGACTATTTTAATTAATTGTTGAAACTACTATATTATTGTATTATATTATATGCCAGAAAAAATTATTTGCTAGCGTATCAAACATCATAACCACATGACGGCCAAAACGGCCATTTGACAAGGGTTTGAAACCGCTAATACACATGTGGTGTAGTGATTTTGTGGATAACTTAATATTATGATAGGTTGATAACTATAATTTATCTTATAATAAAAAATAATACTGTGTGCACGTCGTGACATGTAATTTAGATGTTTATGTATAATCATGCTGACATTCACGATATTTTAAACGGAGACATCCCACGTAAACGGCGGACTGACCCATGAGAAAGTTTTGATGGATCGATATGGCTCGCTCGTCTGAGATATATAGATGGATCATATTACTAGCAGAGTCTCTATATAAGACCACAAGTAATAATATGCAACCCTTAGCTTTTTTATCCTAAGTCCTGAAGTTTTTTCTTTTGTCGTCCTCTAATAAACTAGTGAGTGTAATCCCTTAAGACAACCTCATAGAAAAATATTACATACGAACACAGTACATGTTCTTTCTCATGCACATATAAAGGGATCTTTTGGGAGAGGATATAAGAGGCTTCCCCCCTACAACTTTTCTCGTAATTATAACTTTACCTATTTAATATTTTTAGCTTCTTTATTATATATTCTTTGCCGGCATAACGTTATACTAAACGCTATACGTATATATACTGTGACTTATCAGGTCGATTTTGAAGTTCTCTGTAGTTGTTATTTGGAACGCAAGTGATAGAAGCCAGATTTATAATTTGTATGGCTTATATTTTGTAAATTAATCATGCACACCACGATTAAGTACTGTTATTGAATAAACTAGATTTAGTCCTTATGGATGATTGACAAGAGTCCCTAGATACTTAGCCAAGTTAGTTTCAAAACTCTATTCATCCAGTCTAAATCTCTTTATCTTTTATTTATATTATATATCTCGTAACCGACTAATGTATATGGGATGATGTATATTGCCAATAAGGAATTTGGAATCATTTTTATGCAATAAAGTTTTTTGTGTATATTTGTATCGTATAATTTAATATTTTTTAATACATAGGTAAGTTATATGTATTTTGAGCTGTGACCCGTCCTGTAATAAAACAAAGCAAATATATACAAATACTATATTATATATCACCAACCACTGCAAGTTATATTGATACTTGATGGCTTGGTGTGTTTCTTTAATAATAATTAATAATCAATTAAATAAATAATAATAATAATAATAATATATCCAATATATAATCTATAATACGCTGGTCGTTTCTAAGATAATATAACATAAGTATATTCGAGAAAATATTCCTTAGGGTGGTTAGGATCAATCGGGTTCAGAATTTCACAGTGTGGCTAATATAATATAAAATCTACCATGATTATCTAATAATAATAATAATAATAATATTATAAGATCCGATACCAACATATTAGGTACCACGTATAAATGGTACCAAGTTTCTCTCCATGCCACCTTGACCGTTGTTATTTTTATCTCAAGTCTTAACGCATTTTTTCGTTTTTCCAGACACGATCCTAAGTAAACAAAAACCACAACTTCACGATTATACTGCATAATATTATATTAT